AATATATATATATATATATATATATACTCTTGGTTAGTTTCATATGGAATCAATTTAAGCCTACAGGTACCTAAGTTTCATTAACACATTTATCTGAACTATGGGGCTAGTTCAATCAATATACAGCTTATTCATCTCTGTGGGAACACAACAGCAGTTTCCCATGCACCAATATACAGAGAATGTAAAGATGTGCACTTATCTTTTAAGTTCCTTTAGTGGTTTTTGTACTTTTAGGTATTACTTATTGTTTTATGTTTTTGATCGAATTTCATAGTTTTGTAAGTTTGTTATTTTAATGTACTTTGTAGCCTCTACATGTTTCTAAGTTTTCTTAGTTCGTTGTCAAACAAAAATTTGTGCATTTTTCAAATATGCAGTTTAAGATGTAAATAATACATAAAACACTAAAATTAAATGTTCAGAAACAGTTGTGATCTAACTGGTTTTCTAACTAAGCAATAAGTAGGTTAAAAAATTGTTAATGCTATCAGCATCAACTTTGCTTACAACACACATTTCAATTACTTCCTCTGGACTAATGTCTATTGCTGCCAGTTCAAAAGAATGATTACAAACTAGAAATTGAAATAAGAGCACATGGTTTTGAAAACTGCCATGAAAGTTAAGGATAGATGGATGGGGCATATATTGTGGGTTGTGAAAATTTATTGATATCTTACTAACTGTAAAAGTTAAGAAACTGAAACTGTACATTGGATCTTGGAGTTATTTAAAAATTGTAGACAAAGTAGATTCTATACTATTGAAGCTATAAAAACTAAAAGGGGAGAACAGAAAGTGCTCACACGTCATAGGACAAGTAAAGATTGTAAAATTCAAAACAATAAAAAAAATTAAAACTTAGATAACATAAAAATTTGAATTATAAAGTACATTTTGAAATTCATTTATTGACATACATTTATGATAAAGTTGTTTAATTATATTTTGAATGTAACTCTAAAACATTATGATTTGCACAAAAAACCTGTACTTACTAAAAGAGTTAAACTGTTGATAAATTGTATATAATATATATACATATATAAATTAGACTTTTACAGAAAAATCACCTTTAAAAACTATGGTAGTAATTTATTTATTTGGTGACATTTTGAGCAAATGTTCTTTTTCAAGTCAGACAAGCCTGGTTTGAAAAAGAGAGCTTGCTCAAAATGTTGCCAAGTAAATAAGTTATAATCATAGTTTTTAAAGGTGATTTTTCTCTAATAGTCTAATTTCTTTACTTTATTACCTTTGCATTTTTTTACTTATCAATAATATATATAAAAAGTAAATTTTGTAAAATAACTAACCCCTTTGAATATTTTGTGTTTCAACTGTTCTATGTCTTTCACTTGCCCTTCTGAATCAAGATGTGCTTCCCACTGATCAAGAAGTACAGGGTCTTCTCTCTTAACCTCAGGTCTTGGTGGGAGTTCCATCTACAAAATTAATGCAAATTTCACAATATTTAAAGACTTCATACAGTTACCTTTTATGCAAAGAAAAATACAAGTAAGAAAAAACACTTTGCATAAGAGATTTTTTCAGTTAAATTAATTTTAGAAAAAAGAATGTCAACAGGTCAAACAGTTTTGGTATGAAACAGATATATTTATTTAAATGATATATGTTTAAACTACTAAAAAATATTAATATTTTTATACTAATAATTTCATAAAAATTAAAAAATATCTGTATATTAATCAACTATTAAAAAAACACTTGCAAAATAAATGCCAAAATCAGCATTCAATTCAATGTGGGCATTATTTACAATGCTTGTCAAGCTCACTAATCTTTATCATAATTATTGTGACAAAATGCATGATTTTAATTTGCTAAAATTGTAATATCACAAAGTTAAAAAAAAACTTCTGCAACCTTATTTTCTGCAAAGAAACAATAAAATGATCACCATTCAACACTGAGGTTGGTTTGAATTCTACACAAAAATAGTAGCTAAGTCCTATAGCTTAACCAAGGTTTAAAAAAATTAAAGTCTGTTTACTTTGACCAGATCTATCAAGCTATCTTAACTATAGTGACCCAAGAAGTTCATGAAGTTTGGTGATGCCCTGCCAAGTAAGAATTCATATGAAAGTTTCTATAAAAATATATTCATACAAATGCATACCAAACATACTCAAACCCATGCTCAATATTTTACAGAAGGTGGTTATAAGGAACTACTGAAAAACCTTCCAAGCTACTCAGAAAAACAGGATTAAAGGCCATACATGTAAATGTACCCACTTAAGCTCATTCTTATTAATTCTTTGTGAAACTCTATTCAGAAAGGAGGAAATTTTACATTTTGATGTGATGAGGACATGTCTATACCAGCATTAACCTTTCTATAAATTTAAGTTATATGATGATAAAAAACCCTATAACCGGATCACGTTCGAAAGGTGGACTTTTCTTCTTCAGGGACAAACTGGGAATGGTGGTGTAATCGAATGAGTGATATATAAAGGGAGTTGAGTGGCATCATGAACATCATCCGCTTTTCCAGGAAATATTTAGTATATTTTTCCATGTACTGTTATAAGCGTCTAACTTCTGGTAGAATGTAGCCGGCAATGAGAGCGTTATGTAAGAAGGTATTAGGGATATTTTGCTTTAGAATTGGCTCTCTCTCTCTCTCTATATATATATATAACTGTACATAAGTTTTAAGTAAAATAATGTTGACACCTGGAGACTAACTGAAAAAAGAGATGTTAAGTTAATCAATTTATTGATTCCAGGATGTAGATTAGTTTCAAAAGGTTGAACAGTGTTTAGAATTAATCTAGACCCTGGAATCAGTGATCTCCGATCATTGGTTTCATCTCTGTCTAAAAAATAATTTTTATTCTTTGCTTATTTCTGTCATGTAGTGTGAACCCAAACTTTTCTAAAACTGTCTATTTGTTTAAGATAATTTTTCATTCCTCTTTGTATAAATTGATTAGCTGAACATATATTTTTCAATCAGTCTCCACGTGTCAACATCTAAGTACAGTTTTATATATATATATATATATATATATATAGCCAATTCTAAAGCAAAATATTCCTTGTTTTACAAAATGCTCTCATCACTGGCTACATTCTATGGGAAATGACACAGCCCACCCTTCGAAAGCACTCGGGTTATAGGTATTTGATCATCTTGTATCGAGACTTCTTGAACCTACGTGTTTTTCTGACATCATAAGTTTAAGTTATATGAAATTATGTAGAAGTTAAATATTCAATGCACACGTGAATATATCTTATATATATATATATTGCAAACAGTGGTGTCTGTGTGAGCATTCATCTGTCTCCTATTTGAAAAGTTGTGTATGCAGGAAAAGTTGAACATTCACTTTTGAAATGATGAGAAAACAGGCTTGAATAACATTGATGTTAAATTTTATTTTGTTTCACAGGATATTCTACATTACATTGTTGGGAATTAATTACACTACCATTCACATTTCAAAATGTGACATAACTTTAAAGAACAAAGAATGTAGATTTACCATATGTTATTGTTGAGCGGCTCTTAGCATGACTGAAATGCTCAACAATTACTTTTTATGATGAGCAGTATAAGTAGTTCAGAGCTTTGGCTCTGAGTGAAACCATGAGTGCAACACAATTAACCTTTTTAAAGTCCATGAAATATTTTAAATTGATAGATTAACTTAAACTTTTCCCATTACTGATGATGAGTACTTTTGCTTGTCCAAAATAATATTTGATTTGAGAAAAAAAATCTTTAATTATCAATTCACTGTATTTTTGATAAACAAAAATGAAAAACAGTTCCAAATTATATTATCTAATTCCATTTGTTTGTTATAAACATAAATCTACAAATAACTTATGGAAACAATAATTTTTTTAAATTACCAATACTCACCAGGTGGCATCCTTTAAGTTATATGTTGTGAGTATTTTATTTTTCATCAATATAATACAAAATATGTACAAATGAAATGTATGTATATTCATTTTGTTGGCCTAATTTAAAAACTTGCATAAAAAATTACTCAAGACAATGTGACAATTTTCATTCTCACAAAACTGAAACTTGAATAAGCATTTCTCTATCTGTAAATTTGTATGTAATTAGTGAGACTATGTTAGTTTTAGTAGCTGTATTTTTTCAGTGAGAAATGAGCACTACTTGATTGTCATTTACCACAAATATGGGAGTGTAAATAGCCTGATTCACCACAGGTTAGACATATTATAACAGGATTACAAAACATTTTGGTTTGAACCATATACTATGTTAATTAAATTTTGTCTCACTTAACCTTTCTGAGAATGGTCCACTTCACTGGTAATAAAGTTAACATTTTCCTACACTGAAAATGTATTTCCAATAGATTCTTGCCCTCTTCTCATATAATAGCTTTTATTGATTTGTACTGCTCTATATATGCACACATTTTTTGTTCATCACTAGCCCCAATCCTCCCATCTACCCTCATATGAAACAGCTGCATAACAGTATGTGAATGAGCATGCAACAATCATCCACCAATAGGAGTGCAACACAACTCCCTCTTAGGCAGCTTAGTTGAACTTCACTTCGAGACTAAGCAACATAAAAAAAGAGACACTGAAAATGGGGAGGAAGGGTGGGAATTTGAGAGGAGGTAAGAATCTGTCGGAAATATATTTTCAGTGTAGGAAAATGTTAGCTTCTGATACGATATCTTACTTCCTCTCACATAACATCTAGAATCCCACACTGACCTGGTGGAGGGATCAGTGCAACATTGTCTGTATAAGTCCTCTTCAGAAAGTGCCCAAAGAAAGTCCATGGAGTGTGTGAATAAGGAGTATGTAAGACACACCCGTGGGAGACTGCATCATTTCTTAGCTAGGTATACTCTCTATGCCCGTGCAAATGATGTGTTGCAATAAGGGCAGAATCACAGGAGGATCCCCAAAATTAAATAGGGTACAGATGACCATAAGCTGGTAAGAACTGTACTCCACTGGAAGAATGTTGGGAGGGGGATGCACTGGATAGTCCGGAGGAACGCAACACCAGAAACAGTACAACGAGTGACCACAAAACTTTATTTTGAAGAGCAGACCATTCCTGATACAGCCAAACCAAGGAGTGGCAAAAAAAGGGCAGCAATCCCCTTCTGCTTTACTCATGTTAGTCCATGAGTGTATAAGCAGTCTTGCTGGCCACCCAATCTTAACACTGGCCATTACTGACCTGCCTGGTTGTACAGTGTGGGTTTAAGAATAAGTATATCTGGTCAGGCAACCCATGCCACTGAATGGGATCCATATATGTAAGAAAGGCCCTTGTAAAAAGGAATAAGATAAAAAGAGCATCTACCAACTCCTAGAGAAACCATGGAGCTCAAGATGGTGATGGGAGGTAGATGGTAACCTGTAGAACAGGAAACAGTCAGATGATGAAGATAATGTGAGATAAATGTATGGGGAGTGGTCCACATACTGGCATGAACTATGTCTGCTAAAGGACGATGGAATTGGGCAGCCATGGACATGGTTAGGTGGTGGATTTGATGGGAGGAGACCTGGAAGAGACAACAATCATTAAGATAAAGGGAAGTATAAGCAAGGGGAATTAGCTGGTGAATCCAACTCATAAGGGTAATAGGAGACATATCCTGGGAAAGGGAAAGGTTCCAATGAAAAAACAAATGGAAACAGAACCACTGAAGGGAGCAGTGCAAGCCATGTAACAGTGGAGAGCCTGGATAAGACATAAGAGACAATCTGGATTGGAACAAGGATAAAGGTGACAAATGGAAGGGAGAGAAATAAGAGTGAAGGCAAATTCACCCTCACATGTAGCCGAGGTTTTGTGCAGGAGAAACATCAATAGTGAACAGATCCGAATACTGACACACACACCAAAAAGAGGAGGAAAAAGGGCTTTAAAAAGAGATGATATAAGGAAAAGGAAGACAAGCTTCATGGGATGAAGTGTGAGGGCATAGAAGACAACAATGAGATTCAATCAGTGAGGGAGGGAGGACGTAGAAAACAGCAAAGATAGAAGGAACAAAATGAAAGGGTAAGGACCAAAGAAGTGAAGACATGGTGAAATCTTGTGAAACAAAAACTGGCTGACAGTGCCACATGATAACCAGCAATGATGGACACTGATAGCCTCTTGTTGAAAAGTCAGGTGCAGGAGAGTAAGATGGGAAGGAGGAAAACCATGACGAGAAGACATACATTAGTAAAGTGACATGGAGGAAGGGTGCATGGAATGGAAAATTAGGGAAGCAACCCACAGGGATTTGTCTGGCAAGGGATGCAGACTAAACCCACATGTGAAGACAGAATGTGGGAAGGGAAGGATGTATGTGCTCGAATGAGTTTGTCTGAGGAGGGTGGGTGAGAGGGAAAGAGGAGTTGTCAGTAGGAGCAGGCACAAAAGTGGAAACCATGGCTACACCATCAAAAATGTTGCTACCAAAAGGACTCAGCATGGAGTGGCTTGTATGACTGTAAGAACATGACGAAGAATACAAATGGGAGGATATGCATAAAGGTAACACCCCCACCAACCACTCACCCATTCCTGACTGTAGGCATTGACAGCTACAGCCAAAGAATGAGACCAAATCCTGGGTAGCTTGGAATTAAAGAGTGTGGCAAATGCATCCAGTTCCTAAATACCCACTGTGAACACAGCCAACTGAACACCTGTGGGTCAAGGGAGCCATGGGGAGAATCTTGTCGTGGCAAGATAAATGATCCATGACCCAATTCAGGGCATCTGGTATATGATATGCCTTCAGTTAAATGTGATGGCTCTGGTAGGTCCAATGTGTGGAAACAAAGTGACATCAATTGAGTGCCTCCTTACCGAGCGATGTACAAGACAACCGTGAAGTTGTTGGAAAGGATCATAACCAACAAGTTCTGGGGAGATCGAAGGAAATGAGCCAAAGCCTGAGGAATAGAAAGCAGTCCCAAGAGACTGATATGCAAAGATGACTCTGCTACAGACCAACTATCCCAAAATTTCTTGCATGTCCAGATACGCACCTCAACCCAAAAGAGAAGCATCCATGAAGAGGTGCACCTCCAAATGAGGAAGAAGGGGAACAACCACTGTGGTGTTGTCTCTGTCCAAATACCAGGCAAAGTCCACATGAAGGGAAGAAAGGAGATGGCAAGGGTCATCCATGGGATCCCGAACAAGGTTCCAAGGATCTTGTAAAGCCTACTGTGGGCTTGACTTAGGGAAATGAAGCCCACATCCCCAAAAGAGATAATTTAAAAAAAAGCAAGTAACCGATTAAAATTCCATGAAGTAAAGCTCAATCGAAAAAACACATCTTAACATTACAAGTGTGAGTCAAGAGTTGAAGTTCAGCTTAGCAGCATACAGGGAGTCAGATATGATAGGAGCTGTGATGCACTGTTATTGGTGGAGGGTTGTTGTATGCTATCACACAGCTGCCTCATGTGAGGTTAGATGGAAGTATTAAGGATGGTGATGAGCAAAAATTTTGAAATATAGAGGGCAGTACAAGTCGAGAAAAGCTATTATGTGAAATTTGTTCCATTTTTCTTTTTTTTAATAGTTACATTTCATGAGAATGCTTCAGTGTTAAATACCAAAAACTGGGAAAGTAATGAAAACCAATTTGCCTGCTAGTTTTGAAGCAAAACATGCTTAACTGCAGAATTTTTTTAAAGATTCCTTTTACCCAATAAGGGCTTCAAATCAGAGGTTTATAAGCTTTTGGTTTAATACTAAAACTCTGATTTGAAATTTGTCATGGACTAATTCTGAGGGATGTGGAAGACAAATAATAAAAAAGGGGCAAGCATCTTTTCTTACGCCTTTTTTGATATTTCTCATTAATACTCATCAAAAGATGCAGTATTGCCCCCACAACTACAAAACAAACTGCTTCTGTTAAAAAAATACCTCATACCTTGTTCAATATCATACAAAAAACAATTATTGTATACTTGCCCAATAAGATGATGTAAACTATTTCTATAAGAATTAATCAAGTACATATTATTGGTTTAATTAATTTTTATTTCATTTATAATCAGAGGTTTGTAAAAACAGGATTTTAGACCCATTTTTCACCTGAAATCAATCACAGCTCAGGAGATGTTTTGTTTAATACCAGCACTCCAATTTTCTATCTGTTTGGACTAATTTTGAGGAATGTAGGAGGAAAAAAAACAATATTAAGCTTATAAGAAAGCCTTTTTTCTTATAATATCTTTGATATTTCTGATTAATCACAAAAACTAATTATTATATAATAGTTTCATTATATCCTGTAAACTATTTCTATAAGAACTAATCAGGTACGTATCATTGGCATATATAATCTTTATATCACCCTTTGAGAACTTTATTTTTAGTAATTGGTATTATGATTTTTATTACCTAGTTTGTCTGTAAGGCACAGCCTGTCATAATAATGTATATACACAACTGTATTTAACAAATATATTTTATAATGTAATTATTTTTTTTTCATACAGAAGATCTGCAGAAGCAAAATATAAAAACAGGAAACAGTAAAAGTGTCTTAAGAGAATTTTCACAAAAGAAGTATTTCTGTATTAGTTAAAATATAGGTGATAAGTTAAAGATAAAATTACTTACACAGGTTATAACCTCAAAGCCAGGTTCTTCATTCTGATTTATCTCAACAGATGGCAAGCTTTCTTGAAGCATCTGAACTACCTCTTCATTAGAACACTTTGTAGGAGAGTTTTCATTAGTAAGAACATACTCAAAGAGAAAATTTGTCACCTTAGAAAATCCTCCCATTGTAGCTGTATATGGATCATCAAAAAACCTCTGTAAAAATATAAAGCCAATTAAATATAAAGAGTTTTCATATGATTGACAATTAGGTACAAGCTAACTATAGTAATTATTAATAAAAGTCATTTTGCAAAATACAGTATTTACTAAAACACAATCACATTTTGGTTATAATACATCACATTATTACTATTTACAAATAAATTCTTAAATTTTAGTTATTTTTCTTAATACATAGAGCAGTAAGTAAAGAAATACCTAACAATGATTTATGATTGTTACAAAGTTTTACTTGACACTATTTCCTAAACCTTTTTGAAATTTGCATTTGGAGGATGTAAAACAAAATAGATTTTTTAGTTTTTATATATGCATTTTGAAATAACAAAAAATTCATAAATTACTTTATCAATACCACAGAATTCCACTGTAATTTATCAGGCTTGCTAACTAAGCTGTCTTTGTGTCTAAAGAAATATCATTTTTCGATCATTATTGCATCTACCTCTTCGAGTCTAAAACCAAAACACCTCGTAAAGGCTGAGGAAATCACATGGGGAATATTCTGAGTTTTGATTGGTTATAAACATGTCATAGAGCGAAGTATGCGTACATAAACAAATACTGTACTGTATTTCCAAAAATGTAAGAGATGGGTGGGGCCACTTTGATTTGCTAAATATAATGATATCTCAAAAAAAAAGAAAAGAAAAGGAGGTTCTTATTTTATATTCTAGCTTGTCAATATCAATAATATGAGTTTCTATTTTCCAAGAAACTGTAGACTTTGTATTTCAACATCACAACATCTATTTTGAACCAAAGCTGTATTCAATATACCACATGACACTCAAAAATCGATATTTAGAAATTTTGTTTTAATGTTTACTTTTAAATTAAGAAATTAACTAATGCATAATACTAAAACTTGAATTATAATCTATAATTTGATACCAATCTTATTGGCATACATTCACAAAATAATTCAATAAAATTTTGAATGTTAGTCTACAAACTTAAAGACATGCCCTCTGACCCCTACCCATAGTGACAGGGTTAACTGCTCACTCTTCTTGACTGTCCAGGGTGATCGAAAGCTAGCCAAGATTGCAAAAACATGCCACACATGCATACTTAATAGGAAAACTTCAGCATGTGGATAGCTAACTGCTGTGTCACTTCATGATAGAACAATCTTTAATTTTCTCATTTTAGCTGGTCAGTGGTCATGTTCCTGGGGTGATTGCTCATCAGGGGGAGAAAATAATGCAGTAGACATCCATTCTCAGTTATAGTGGTCTGAAATGAGGGGTGGTTGCTGAGCAGGTGAGTCTCTCAAAAGGGGGACTATCGTATGAATACAAAAAGACTGGTGTTTTAGAAACTGTCAACAAATCATTACACAAGATACCCCCCCCCCCAAAAAAAAAAGATATGTGACTTAATTAGTGAAATTGTGTTGGTTTGAGAAAATGCAGTGTGAATGACTTTCTATAAAATATTAAATACAATTTAAGCTTAAGTTGTGAAGCAATTGGATATTTTTGAGGGAATTTTACAATTGCTTCAGTATGTTTAGCATTTTAAAAAGAGTTTAAGAAAGATGTTATAACAATTTTCTGAGTTTTTGAGTGAACATAATGAAGAAATGGCGAAGTAAAGATGCCTGTATTATAAAATAAGGTCAAGAGCTAGAAAGTACAGCTAGCTGGTTAAGTGGTACTGAGAATCACAAGTTAGTGAATCACGAATTAAGAGTTATAAAAAATGAAGCTATCGCCTAGCAACAAAGTAGATGCCCTAGCACTGGTGGTTGACAGTGATTAATTATTGATGGCAACTTGTTACTACTGTGGAAGTTATGAAAAAATTGATGTTAACGTGAAAAAGTGGTACTTTGATTATATATATTCCTTACACGAAGCTGGCGTACTAGCACAAGTGAAAAGGCAATTGACTAACTCACCATAACAGTAACCAATCACTTGAGAGTTTTGGTTATGGTTTTGAACTAGCCTGGGAAGTTGCACAAATCGACCAATAAAGTGTTAGTACCACTTGAGAACTAATTACTAGAACTACTTACTTTATATGAACTGGTCATTGGTACTGATTAGAAGTAACAGTAAAAGTTATAATGATTATTAAATGGTAGAGTAGACGAGGATGTTGAGAGTTTTATTGATGCTTTAAACGAAGCTGCCAGAATATTGGGCTGGACTGATGCCCAGAAGGTAGGCATATTAAGATTAAGAACAGCATGAGAAGCAAAATGCTCTATTAGGGCTTATAATGAACCATGTGAAACCACAGATTTTCAGTATTTAGTACGTAGGTTAGTAGAGGAATATAGGAAGTGAGAAACAACAAATGTAATTCTAAAAGAGATGTGCAATTTAACTCAGCTACGAGATGATTCTGTCCGAGTTTTTGGACATAAGTTGCAGGAGTTAGGTAATAGATTGCACAGGGCTTATATACACCGAAACAAGTTGATGATACAAGATACTTTAAATCTGAATATGAACAAGGGTTGTATAGTAATGCAGCTAGCTGTTATGTAAATGAAGCAAATACCCCTCAAGCAACTTTGCTTGATCTGATTGAAGCAGCTACTCGAGAGGAGCTATGAGAAAAACAGATATATAGCCCTAAACATTCTGCTGTAAATGTAGCAAACAGATCTAGCAAAGCAGATTCGCATAATAAACAAAATAAGCCCAGTGGCCTCCAGTGTTTCAACTGTGGCACAGAGCAAAGATCTGCTTTCAAAAGCAGAAAAGAAATGAGCAAATAGTGTTTTAACTGTGGTATTACAGGCCACATGGCACGAGATTGCTGATACCCACTGAAGGAAGAAAACGGTAAAGCCCCAAAGGCTGGAGCTTACAGAGGAAAGTTCCCCAAAAATAACAGTAACCATACATTCACTGTAGGATCAAAAAAACGTAATTCCCGCCGGGATTACAGAGTGAATGTACAGGTAGTTCCAGGCAGTTTTGGATAAAAGATTCAGTGTTCATAGTATTAATAACTTTTAACCATTAGTTGTAGTAGAAATAGAAGGTGTAACATTGGTTGATAAAAGCGCTACTAAGTGCAGAACTAGTAGATAAAAATCTGACATTATTAGGTAATGCTTGGAAAGAAGTTTCTAGAAGTATTTTAACTTCTATAGCAGGACATCCTGTTAAAACACTAGGTAGATATGGTGTACATATGAAAGTAGGAAAGTCAGAGTTAGAACATTCATTTTACATCTGTAAGCAGATAGACTTAGAAACAGATGGTATCATAGGGCAAGATTTCTTAAGGGTTTATGACAATGAAATATCTCTTACTTCGGGTAAGCTATGCGCAGAAACGGAGATCTTATGTTTTGAAGGACTCGATTCCTCAGACATATGTGCAATAGTTGAGACATATGATACCTTCCCACTGGCTAAAGTTAATAGTCAGATGCCTAATGCTAGCATTAGCAAGGCTAAGGATCAACAGTCAAAACATGAAAGCACTGATCTCCTAGAGTGTAGCAATACACAACAAAGTCAAAGAAGCAAGAATAAGAAGTGTTCTCAAAGAAAGCCAGAGAATAAGAGTACACAGAAAAACTCTAAATCCAGCAGAAGTGACGATGGAAGTCGTAAGAATAAGGTGAGTGATAGTACGATAAGGCAGAGTAAGTTAGCAAATAAGACTTTAAAACAGGAAAATAGTAATTCAAACCTCTCAGATGACTCTACACTTATGCCTAACATAAGCAACAGAGAGCATCCCAACAGGAGTGTTTGAAAGAAAGAGTACCTGTAAAATTAGTTAAAGTAACTGAAGTACCTGCAAGAAGTCAATTTACTGTTGAAGCTAAAGTAAATGACTAAGTGTAAGGAAAAAGTGTTAATTGAACCTATCGAGATAGAGGAAACAGGAGTTTATATAGCTGCTTGTATTAGTAAAGTGTCCGAGAGAGACAGTGCCTATAAAAGTGTTAAATGTGAATGAAGAAAAAGTAATACCACCTAAGAACATAGTAGTAGGTAAGGCTAGTAGTAGAGAACAATTAGCTGTGGTATGATAGCATAATACTTAGAAGCAGGTACTACAAAGTAGGATAGAATGGGATTCTATCTCAGGAAATGTAGAAAAGAAACATAAATAGGGTTTGATAATGTTGTTAGAAGAGTATAGATATATATTTGTAGGAGAAAATGACTCTAATGGTTGTATAAATTAAGTTAAACACAAGGCCTATAACACAGAGACCCTATAGAGTGCCAGAAAAATACAGGGTTGAATTAAAAGAATGTGTAAAAAGAGATACTTGAACAAGGAGTAATTAGAAGACAGTAGTAGTCCATATGCATCTCCAGTTGTATTAGTTCCTAAGAAGGATAGAAAATTAAGGTTCTGTGTGGATTTTCGGAAAGTGAATAGAGTAACAGTCAAAGACATTTACCCATTACCTAATATCCAAGAAACCTTAGTTAGGTTATGTAATGGTAAATACTTTTCCTCTATGGATTTACAAAGTAGATATTGGCAGGTAGAGATAGGAGAAAATGATAAAACTAAAACTGCTTTTGTATTACCTTCAGGTAAATATCAGTTTAATAGAATGCCTTTTGGCTTATGCAACACCCCTTCAACATTCCAGAGATTAATGGATGTTGTATTATCAGGCTTGCAAGATTCAGAATGTTTCTGTTATTTAGATGATGTTATTGTGTTCGCTGCAAGTTTTGAAGAACACTAAGAGAGGTTAGGGCATGTACTTGATAGATTACAGAAAGCAAATCTAAAACTTAAACCAAGTAAATGTCAGTTCCTGAAAAAAGAAGTAGAATATCTAGGTCATTTGGTGTATAACCATTAAGATGGTTAATGACATTAAAAGACCCCTCCTCTAGATTAGCTAGATAGTCATTATTACTACAGGATTATGATTTTGAAATAGTACATAGACCAGGTAGAAAGCATTCTAATGTTGATGCTCTGAGTAGAATTAGAGTAGGAAATACAGAGACTGAAGAAAAGCA